TAAGTTTAAATGCCTTGTATTCTTATGGGAGCTGCTTGGCACATAATATTAAGCAATTGTAGATTAGTTTCGCAATTAGATGTTACGATCATGAATATAGATTATATATCACTAGAATTCGTTTATGCCAATTAATGAAGAAAGAGAATATTTTTGAGGAAAAATTTTATCCGCTTATTTTAATTAAGTATTGTGATCATAAATGTACTTAATATCATAATTGGTGATAACAAACCGGTTCTAGAATGGGGCATTATAGAGATAATCATCTCATTAAACAAGGGGTCCTTGGAGAGCTCCTCCACCCCTAAGTTGATTTCAGGTATAATCACGGTATAAAACAATGCATGCATCAGAATATGTATATTATGCAAGTTTGCAATAATGAATCCTACTGGCCAGAGAATACAACATGTATGCATTACACAAGGAAACTCGTCTTGCAATATACCAGTACAAGGAAACTCGCCTTGTACTACACATAAGAAAACCCGTCTCATGCCTCACACACAAGGAAACCTGACTTGTGTGGCACACAAACATACATACATATACATGCCTCATAATATCAAATCCATTTCACAACATACCATATATCAAAGAACTATCCTCCCTCGGAGTTTAGTGGAACAAATGGGTCATTAATCCCAAGGACCAAAAGCTTACCTCTAGTAGCTTCCAACCCAAAGCTTGCTTCAAGCCCAAGTAAAGTCCACAACAGATATATTAGAGTGTCAACTCTACTCGCAACACTTATTTCAAAGGTGAAGAGTATCACAATTAATCAAATATATACATATAACCACACAAGTAAGTCTCATTATCAAACCAATGTTTGATACTTACCTCAAGTTTAAGCAATCAAGAACCAATGTCATGCTCCTTTGCTTGATTGGATCCTTATTTCTACAAGCTCACTTGGTTCCACACTACAAACCAATGAACATATATCCATTAATATCCATATTTGTAAAACTTAAGGTTTCCACTTAACCATAAGCAATATATACTTGGGAAGACTTAGATTCATATTTCAAGTGTCCTATATTATCCCTTAAAGGTCCTACACCATTTATAAGGGTTCTATTTTGGGAAAATATCATTTCTTCTCAAAAAAAAGTGACATCCGGATATCTCAAAAGTCATTCCGGATATTCCATGAGGCAATATCCTGATATTTTGCGTTAGTTGACAGAAACTGCAACAAACACGAATTGGAGTCCATTTAACACAAAAATCACACTCTCCCAACACTCTAGCATACATTTTTACTCATGGTTATATACTTTAACTCACAAACTATACAAAACCCCAAATTACATATCCTAGGTCATGGTACTTCCTCAAAACACAAGAGGGGAGTTGTGATATTTACATTAGGAGCTCCAATCCACCAAATGGAAGACAACCAAGATCTCAACCAAGACATATTCCTTCCCCAAACTCCAAGTCCGAAAATGGCAGCTCTCAATATGGGTTTCTCTTTCTCTCACAAACAGTTCGCTAATGGGAAAGATGAATTGGTGTGATGAAGGTGAAACTTATCAAGTGTTTCCTTTCTTTTCTTAGGCAATTGATGGAGCACAATGATGGGGGGAAACAAAAGCTCACCTTCGATTGGAGAGGAAGCATCCGCGAGAGAAGAAGAGAAATGGAAGAGAGAGTGTGTCTTTGACCCTTTTAAGTGGGTTGTATATCTCATTGGTTATAAACTTATCTATCCCGTTCATTTTACTCTCTTTCAAACTTGACATTTCAGTTTATAATATTTTTGTGGGAATACTCACTAATTTATCTTTATATTTAGGTTAATTTTGTTTGCCCGCATTTTTACCCTATAATTGACAATATTCACGCTTTTCTCCAAAAAAAGGTGATTTATTTACGTAAATTAAAATTTCTATCTAATTATCCTCTTTTAATTATTAATTAGATTCCAAAAATCATAATTTAGTGGTTTGGGTTATTATAATAAACATGGACATCATTGATTTATTCGTGCATATTTCGGCCATAACCTCAAACAACCCCATTGGTAATTTCAATTACTTTTCATTATCAATATCAATTACTCAACACATTATACATTTACATGCCATTACACAAGTCATAATTTAATTATTCTAATTATTTAAGAAAGCCCACATTTAAGGACTTATCAATAACCTAATACCAAACCATGGTGTTTACACAATTATTATCATTTGACATCACCTAGGATTAGCTTTCAACCTCAAGTAGAATTTAATACACTTCCTAGGTCATTTTTCTTTGAAATGGACAAATTAGTTCCATCCAATTGTCATGATTTTTCAATAGCTATTGTTCATTCCAAGATATGTTACTTTCATTATGAAACTACAACCATTGTTCAATTCAAGTAAAACTTCATTTCTAACCTAATTTTCTCTCTTTTTTTTCCGAAATGGCCATTTCCCACATCATTAACATTTTTCATGCTCTCCAACAATTAATCTCTCATTCTAGTCACATACACATATATAGAGAATCATTAATGTCATGAAAAACAATGATTAAACATACTTCCACCTCATTTTCCTTGGTATGACCGAAATGCTCAAAAAGAAAGTTCATAGGGTTTACCAAACTTTCATGCTTTTAACCACTAGTTTATTGTTCATTCAACACTTTATCGCTTACTCATCATATCCAACAATAAATCCTAATCACAATCCAACATCATCAACACTCAACATTTCCCATTTCTTTACACACATTTTTGGTCAAACATACAAGTGACTAAAACATTGATTTAAACCACTTTTTACCAATTAAATCACCTCACCAACAAACTTTACAACACACAAATCATGTTCTAAAATCATCAAGCCAACAACATTTTCCATGAATGCATGAAATTTTGATCTCCATCAAAATTAAGCAAAAAGAGTGTTTCTTACCACAAATTAACTCACAATAGTCCTAGGAGTGCTTTCCAACCATCAAAGTAAACAATGCAAGTCTCCTAGCCTTTGTATGACCTCAAAATCGCCAACTTCCAAGAGAGAGATCTCTCACACAATGGTTCTCACAAGGATTTCTTTAGTGGGAAATGCTCACAAGGATGAAGAGAACAAGTTTCATGACCAAAGTTACGACTAAAAGTGAGTAGAAATCAAAGTGGAAATCTCAAGATCACCAAAAATGGCTCCTCGGTTTTGGCCGGCTGAGTACCCGAAGTTTTTGAGCCTAATGATGTGTCTTGATTTCACTTAAGTGGGTTTTTGACTTAAATCAAGGTTTCACACATAGAAAATTACTATTTTATCCCCCACTTAAACCTCCACTAATTCATGTTTTGGATCATCAAATTAACATTTTAACATTCACCAATGTCCATTAATAAAGTCCATTTTTAGATTTTCAAGTAATTTTGCAATGTTGCATTTTTACCGCGATATATTTACTAGTTATGTGTTTCCAAAAAATGCCTAGAAATCACCAAATTATGTTTTTAATTCAATTTCATCATTTTTATCACAAAGACAACTATAATCACCAAAAAGTGCCTAAAAAAACAACTTGATTTGAATTGCGATTCTATCAATATAACCAAAGAGAAAAATATTTCTGCAGTTACTGCAGATAAGTTATCTGCATTTATTTTCAAAATGATGTTGTTTTGGTATTGAAAAATTAAAAAATTAAAATTATAAAAACTATAATAACCCTAAAATAAATTAAAATTACAAAAATACTATGATTTTCATCCCAAAACGACTTCATATTGGGTTTATTACAGATAACTTATCTGCATTAACTGTAGAAAAAAACGAATCCTATAACCAAATTAAATGCCCTCGTGATTCATTTACCAAAAAAAAAAAAAAAAAAATGCCCTCGTGATTCTGCATACGGTAATCACATAAAATATTTTCTTTAATTACTCTTCTCAAAATTTGAAGGTATCCCACAATTATATCTCAAAATTTTCTTAATATTTTGGTAATTTCGGTTAACTTGAGAATTGAGATTACCCTCTTGAAATGAAAACCTTCTTACAGTACGTAATTCCAACAAAAAAAGTCTGTCAAAAATTTAAAAAAATATCCCCCAGACCCCCACTCTTCCATTTGTTTCACTTGATATGAAATTCTTATTGCTCCCGTTAACACGATAAATACAGTAATATTTTTTATTGATATTCTTATTGCTCCAATTTGATTTTTAGTAAATATTACAACTACTGTGCTACATATTCAATAATATAAACTTTTTATTATAGAGTGTAAATTTATCCTCGCATGTATTATTTAAAATGTCCATATCATATGATACGATCCTAATCATACAATAATAAATTAATGATTACAAAGGATAAGAGAAAAAAATATTATAATAATTAAAATCCTCTCGTGATCATATTAAATAGCACATATTCCTGCACAATCCTCGTCTATCAAACTTAAATGCACCTCTTAATAAATTAAGCATACATTAAAAAGTAAAAAAAAAATATATATATATATTTACTCTAAAGATTACACAAATCATTTAAAACTTTTTTCTTTGAATAATTGATAAGAAATATTAAATGTTATTTATAACCAATACCGCGTTCATATCAAAATAATGATTTTATTATGATACTGCGCGTGATATAGGATACGCACCTAGGAATTTCTGAAGCAATTAGTCATGTATGTACCCACAAACAAAGGTAGAAAACAAAAACATAGCTTGTTCTTTGGCTTCAATTCAAACACATAAGAAACCAAACCAACCAGGTCCTATAAAGTCCCCGCCACATAGTCTTGGAAAAGGTTGTCCTATAAAGTTTTTGTCCTAGAAAGAGTCGCATTCATCATGTTACGATTTAAGGTTTTGTGTTTTAAATGTTTTTCACACGGTTTGAAAACCCGTCAAATTTATTAGGGTTTAGGATTTAGAGTATAAGGTTTGTTCTTTATAATAAACCAAACCAATCTCCACAAGAAACAAATAACCCTCTTTTTCCTTTCACTCGCAAAAACAAAGCCATGGATGTGTTCCTTAGCAATGAGGAAGAGAGTGAGATGAACAGAAGAATATTCCTCATATCCCTTGTTTGCTTATGCGTGGCATTGGTTATCGTCTTCACATTTAGCATCTACATCTTGTTTTGTGTCCTAGCACGCCAATCTCGCTCTAGAGGTTTCATTAACCTACTCAGCCTCACCATGGCTCATAATGTTGATCATCATCATCATCACGCGGAACCAACCAACACAGGTCTTGACCCTGCCCTCATCATGGCACTGCCCACGTTCATAGTCTTGAAGAATATGGAAGCTTATGGTGGCTCTATGATGGAGTGTGCTGTGTGCCTGAGTGCTCTGGAACATGATGAAATAGCCAAGTTGATTCCCAGCTGCAATCACATTTTCCATGTGGGTTGCATTGATTCTTGGTTGGCTTTAAGCTCTACGTGCCCCTTATGTCGAGTCAGGGTCCAACCCTGGCTCAAACCGCAGCTCCATGAGGGTCCTATTGCCCTGGCTCTTGATGGTGCATCCTTGGTTATGCCAGTGTTGGAACCTACAGAAGGGACATCAGATGGTGTTGGTGGCGAGTCACCCAAAATTAGTGGTTTGAATTCTCCATTGAGCTCGTTCCGAAGGATTCTTGGTAGGGAAAGATCGCCAAGAATCCAAGCATATAGCCCTGCTGATGTTGATCAAGATTTGGAGAGACAGTGAATTTGTAGGTGGGGTTAACTTGTTTTGCCATCAGTATTTTTCTCATTGATGTACGTATAAAGAGCTAAAGGTTTTTCTATGATTTTGAATCTTTTTAGTGCATGTTAGTCAACCCTGAGAGATATGGGGTTGAATCATAACTTTGTTGATTGCCCATATTATTGAAAACTTTGCTCTAAATTAGCATAGTAATTTAGTGGTAGAGATATAATATGAGCAGACTAAGGTAACAACATATGTAAACTTTGGCTAACATTAACTGAGCAAATTCTCTTTTGTTTGAAATGGTTTCTTTCGTGTTTTTGTCCTTCAACCTACATTAACATGTTTTAGAGTTTAGACTAATATTTGTATGGCAGAAAACTCGAGCTCCATCTTAGTTTTAATATTTTAAGTTTGGATTAATTTTAAGCATGCATTCATGTCATTGGTTTGGTTCTATTGTAAGAATTCAATGCATCATTACCCAAATATATATATATATATATATATATATATATATATATATATATATATATATATATATCAATGCAGTGGCAATGTTTGGGCAAACATATAGGTGAAAATTTCAATCAGGACTATATTTTGATGTTCTATGATTAGATTTTGCATTTTACTGCATTCTTTTTTGTGCTTATTCGTTCCACTTGGAGCATTTGTTTTCTCACCCTGAAGTAAGCCATGTTGCTAACATGCATAACACGAAATGTTGATATCTGGAAACATAGAAATGCCAGTAACAATTAGCAAAAAACAATGCTTCCATTATCTTTTTTTTTACCATATCCATTTTTTTTTTACCATTCCGAGAAATTCATAGTCGTTGTAATGTTTTGACAGCTAAAGTATACAAACAGAATGGAGGAATTATAATATGTTAATTATAATATACTCGCAAAACATCTAAAACAACTGGGAAATTTTTCTCGACTGAAATATCATCAATAGCTGATCAAACGATGGTACATTAAGGAACATAGCCAAAAGAGTGAGCATGTGAAATTTCAGAATCATGAAGAGAGTTAGAACCATGAGTACTTCAAATTCCTTGTAAATTACTTATGTAAAGCAGAACCAAGAAAATTTTTAAGCACTGGATGCAGCTCACAGTCACTAAACCATATATCTGAACCAAGTATCAATAACTCGTGTGACACACTGACATTGATTTAGTGATAGTGCTTACTCATAATGAAACTGTATAAGAGTGAGCTTTCTTTCGTTCAAGAAGCAATTAAGCAGAACACACAACATAAGCTTTCATTTAGATAACTCCAAGAGAATCTTAAAATTCAAATGAGGTACAAATCTCCTTCAAAATTATCTACTTCAACTTTTTTTTTTTTTTTTTTTTGATAACATACTTCAACTTTGAATATGCTAGCAAAACTACAAAGTTGAAAACAGATGACCGACAGCAGCAAATTATACTCATCAATTGCAGATCTACGTTGGTAGCAACACACAGTTTGATGTGGATATTCCTAAAATGTCTAACCTGTACCAAGTTTAACAAGGAAAGCTCCTTCCTTTAGCCATTCCTTCATCAAATCAAGGGGTATTTTTACTTCCAATTATCCATAAATTGAAACCATGAGCAGCAGCAAATGACTGATACACAGAGGCCAAAACCACCACCTCCAAGAAACTTTACTGCATCCGCTCATATTTTCACTGGGTCTCAATCCAACAGATGATGATGATGATGATGTTGATCCAGTAAAGCTTCCATTGCTCACTGCCAAACTGCATCACCAAAAATAGGGCTCAAGTCAAACTTTCATAGTCAACAATTTCCAACCACATTTCTCTAAAACACTATGAACCAAACCTTGCCAACAAATAATAATTATAATAATACTGAAGTTCAAACAAATTAGAATTTCAGCTCAATTTACCCGGATGGAAACTTGCAACTATCATGACCTGCAAATCAAAATCAAGTAAAGAATGAAACTATTGCACAATGACTCAGGGTTTTAAAATTTACCACCCATAAACCCTCCAAAACAGAATTTTTATTCATCCACAACGGTTGAAAAAAAAACACAATAAAACCAATTGAATAATTGAGAGAGAGAGGGGTTCACTGACTAGGGTTCAAGGAAGTAATGGCAGCGTTGTTGTTGAAGTTGCAACTATCATCGGTCAAGCCATGTTTAAGGAAATAGTCATTGAAAGCATACGACGCCGTATTCTGCACACTGTTGGCGTCGTAGCAGGGTCCTCCATTCTGGATTGGCCGACAATCGGCGCCACCGGCCCCACAGGCCCAGTCCAGCGCCGACTGCAGCGCCGCGTCCTCCGCGTTGTTCTTCGCCACGCACCAAAGCTCCTGCTGAGGAACGCCGCCGCTCGAACCGCCGCAAAAAGGCGAAATGCTCAGAAGAAGAAGTAGGGAAAGGCAGAGCCAAAAAAAGAAACTTTCTCTTCTGGGCATTCTCAGATTGTGGTCGGTGATCGAAGAAGAAGAACAAAGACAAATGGGTCGGGTCGGGTTTGGTTTGATTGTGGTTATGGGTGGAACTAACTTAATGTTGAAGAAGAAGAAGAAGATGCTTGTGTTATTGGGATGGTGGAAATGTGACCGTTACTACCGTGTTTCATGAGCTAAATCGAAGAGGCATAGAATGAGTGAGTGAGAGAGTGACTGTGTGAATAAAAATTGAAAGATAGTGTGTTTTGTAATTGTAACAGTGACGGGTACATCTGGGAGTTTGTCTTCTTGTCTCCTCTTTTCTGCTGTTTTTTTTTTAAAAAAAAATATTATTGGTTGATCGATTCTGTCAATTCAGATAATAATACAATGGGGACAAAAGTCCTACTGTTAAGTTTTTAACGTAGTTACTTATTTAAGACTCGAATTCAAGTTAAGCTGAAATAATTTCATGCCACTTGAATTTGATCAATGTATTTGTTGATTTTCTTTCTATTATTAAATTTTAATCTTTACATTCGATAATTATGTATCATAAATATTGTGATGGAAAAAGACTTTTCATATTCATATTGTGTCTCCTTTCTCAGCAACTTGAAGAATGGTAGTGCTGTTTTCGCAGACCGGGGTAGAAACCAAGTGAGGGAGGCTAGTCTTCCTGTCAATTGCTGTATTTCCTTCTTATTTTTAGGAGCCTTCATATCTAACACAACTTTGCACTTATCCGGATTAGCTTCAATACCCCTGTGAGTCAACATAGAACCAAGGAATTTTCCTGCAAAAACTCCAAAAGCACACTTCGCTGGATTTAAATAGATGTTATGTCGTCTCAATTTTTCAAAGGTTAGCTCCAAATCTGCAATATGCACCATTGACTCCATTGATTTGACTATCCTATCGTCTATATATACTTCCACACTCTTGCCTAGCTGATTTGCGAACACTTGGTTCATCATTCTTTGGTCCGTAGCCCCCGAGTTCTTTAACCCAAAAGGCATCACATTATAACAGTAGTTTGCCTTCTCCGAGATGAATGCTATTTTTTCTTGATCTTCCGACGGTAATAGGATTTGGTTATACCCAGAGTAGGCATCCATGAAGGATAACATCTGGAATCCAGACGGGCTATCAACCAGCTGGTCTATATTAGGCATGGGGTATGCATCTTTGGGACACACCTTATTTAAGTCAGTATAGTCCGTGCATACTCTCTACTTCCTGTTTGGCTTTTTAACCATTACCACATTAGATAACCAGGTGGTGTACTGTATTTCTCGAATAAAATCGGCCTCTAATAGCTCCTTAACATGATCCTCCAGTACTTGTCGACGTTCCGGGCTGAGCTTCCTTTTCTTCTGAGCTACTGGCTTAGATCCCGGATACACTGCTAATTTGTGACAACAGAAGGCAGGGTTTACCCCGGGAATCTCTGTCGACTTCCAAGCAAAAACGTCTTTGTTTTTCCTCAAGCATGTGACGAGTTGGTTTTTAACATCCTCTGTCAGCTTTTTACCAATCTTTGTGGTTTGTCCTGGCTCTCCGATGGTTACTTCTTCCAACTCTCCATCAGGTTCTAGCCTTGGGATTTGGGTATCATCCCTCATGTCCAGTTCTACCATGTTAATTGGTGCTTGTTCCTTCTTCTGGCTTAGACCGACATGACTCTCATCGTTTTCTTTGATCTTGTTTGAAGATGTGGGACCACTCTCAATTCCTCTGACCGACTTGAAGTAGCAATCTCGAGATTCTTTCTGGTCCCTAGCAATGGTGATCACTGTACCATGTTTACTAATCATCTTAATTTTTTGATGCTTGTTAGAAACCAATATATCCCAATTATGAATAGTAGGTCTTCCCAATATCACATTATACTCTGAAGGGAAATCGGCTACAATGAACCGTACGCTTTCGGATTTGAAAGCTTCTTTCGATCCTAAGATAAGCCTAAGATCGATATACCCTTTAGGAAGGGTATTGCGGCCATTGAACGCAATCAAAGCAGTGTTGCAGGGCTTCAAATCTTCTTTATCTAGGTTCATCTTTAAAAATTCCAACCATAAAATTATGTTGGCACAACTGCATTGTCCACAAAGATCTTCTTGACTCTGCAATTGACTAGCGTCCCCATTATGACCAAACCGTCAACTTGTCCTGGCATTACATCTTCCAAATCCTCCTTAGTAAAGTATAGCAATGGCGAGTCTGGTTTGGCTTCTTCTTTGAATTTAGGTTGTTCCTGTATCGAAAGTACCTCTCTTAAGTACTTCCTTATGGCATTCATGGTATCACCTCCTCCACCAAACGCACCACTAATCACATTACATTCAAACTCTAGTTCCACGAATTCATCCTCTTCTCTAGCCGATTTTTTACCTCGGCTCTCCTCCTTCAGTCTCTTCTCTTTTGTCCGGCTAATAGGCCGACCTTTTCTTTTTCTATTGTTCCTCCACTCTTGAATCCTTATAAGATACTGACGCAACTTGCCATCCCTGATGTATCTTTCAATTGCGTCTCTCAAATCCTAGCATTCGTCTATAGTACGTCCTGGTCCTTCATGAAAGGC